GACAAATGACCTGATCCTATATGAACATCTTAAAGGAATACCCCCCCCCACACACACACAAAACTACTCGAATGAGATTAACAAAGTCACAGGATCAAAGATCAGTAAACAAAGATCAGTTCTATTTCCAGGGGCTAGCTAGCATCAATGAACTAAAAATGAAATTAAGACACCAGTTCCATTCACAATCGCATCCAAAAAAAAAAAACCCCAAAATACTTGGGGATAAATTTCACAAAAATAGTGCCGGATGTGTCCACCAGAGACAACAAAACATTGTTGGATAAAGAGGATCTAAATAATTGGAGAGACACTCCATGTCCATGGATTGGAGGCCCCAATATTGTGAAGATGACAGTTGTCCCCAAACGACCCCATAGATTCAACACAATTCCTTTCAAAATGCCAGTAGGGAGAATGGGGGGGGGGGGTTAGTGAATAAGAGGCACAAGGATTTTTATGACAGTGAAATTATTCGTATGATACTATCATGGTGGATCCGTGTCCTTCTATGTTTGTCAAAACCCATAGTCTCTACACCAGCAGTGACCCCTGACAATGAACAATAACATATCAATATTCCCTCATCAGCTCAACAAGTGTGTCACACTCGTACATAATTAATAACTACTAATAAGACGTGAATGATAAGGGAAACTGAGGGAAGAGGTTTATAGGAACTCTGTATTTCCTTCTGTAAACCTAAGACTGCTCTTTAAAATCTACTAGTTTTTGTTTCAAAAGACAATACCAAGAATTAGCAAGGGAGTAGAAAGACTGGAACCCTCACAGATCGCCAGTGGGCATGTAAAATGGTACAGCCCCTGAGGAAAAGAGTCTGGCAGTTTCTTAGGAAGTTAAACATACGCTTCCAACAATTGAACGCGCAGGACTCTACCAAGAGTGATGAAAACAGACATCCACACGGAGACTGGTGTGTGAATGCTCCCAGCAGCCTTAGTCATAAAGGCCAAGAGCCAAATGTGGGGGTGGAGGGTGGGTGATGGAAATTCTCTAAAGCTGGATCTCCGTGACGGTTGCACAATTCTAAGTGCATGGATTTTATGGCCCATAAATCACAACCCCATAAAGGTGCAGAAAAAGAAAAGCTTTGTGGAAAGCATAAATTAAGGATAATAGAGCCAGGAGAAAAAAAAAATGGCAGGAGGCAGATACAGCAGCTCTAAGATCCCTCACACTTGCTGGCTGTGAATTTGCTTGAGTTCCTTGGGGAACAGAGAATTGTTACTCACTGGAGCAGAGGTATACTTAACTCCACGAGGAATTGCTATTCCCAACCCTTAACTGCAGGAAGAATTTCTCAGCTGTGGCAAAAAAAAAAAAAAAAAAGTAGTGTCCTTGACCCCATCCTATGACAAAAGCCATAGTAGATTCCATAGGATGGTTTCTTTTAATGTTCTGTGATAACATTACGATATCATCATGAAGCCCAGCCCAGAGGAGGCAGCTCTGTGGAAGGTTGAGCAGGTGCTCTAAGCTTCGTGCCTGCCTGCTCGAGTCGAAAGTAAATTCTAGAATATGTAGCGATCTGGACAGAGTGCACTGTCTTTTAGAAAAATCGTTCACTGAGAAAAGAAATTTTTTTTCATTCGGGTGAATAGTTATTGCACAGGTGATTTTCCCCAGGGCAGGACCAGCCCAGAGGGCAGGTGCTCTGTGGAGCTCTTGAAGCCCACACTCCCAGGTGGAGCTGTTGCCCGTTAGGCAAGGGATGCATTCCTGCCGACCTCAAGATGTGAAGGAGAAGACACAGGGTTCCAAACTCTGCTTCTATAAGGAGCTGTTCGTATTTTCTTTTTTTTTTTTTTTTAAAGATTGTATTTATTTGAGACAGAGAGAATGAGAGAGAGAGCACACGAGAAGGAAGAAGGTCAGAGGGAGAAGCAGACCCCCCGCTGAGCAGGGAGCCCAATGCGGGACTCGATCCCAGGGACTCCAGGATCATGACCTGAGCCGAAGGCAGTCGCTTAACCAACTGAGCCACCTAGGCGCCCTCTTTTTTTTTTTTTTTTAATGTGATGCTCTTTAAAATTCACATCGTTCAGATCTGCACTAAATGGGACCTGTCTTGTAGGGGTCAGAGATGCAGAAAACTCCGGTCCCTCTGGACTCTGGGGTGACTCCCTCCCTCGCAGGTCCCTTTGCTCGGGTAACGGGGTGCGGGAGTTTATGCTGATGCAATCTTTCCGTTTTTTGCTAATCTGCATTCATCTTTTGGCTTGTTCGAATTGCAGAATTGCGGAAGGGAAAGGAAATTATTGTTTTGAATAATAATAGAATTAATCCGAGCGAAGACTTTGGGCACTTACTATATACAGTTAGCCCTTTACATGTGTTAATGAGTTCAGCCTCACATCCCATGGAGGCCTCAGGGAGCACCCATGAACATGGACTCAGACTGGGGGGTCAGGCTTCCCACCAGGGCAGTACTCACACAGACGGCCTCAAAGAGCTGAAAGACGATATAAATCGGCAGGACCTTGTTCACCAGGGCAATGACTTCTCTGCAGGAGAGACAGGGAAGAACATCTGTGTGGAAATCTGAGGCATGACCGTGTCCTTGAGACTCATGTATCTCCCCTCTGTTCCACCACCTCCTAAAAAGGGTCGGAATAGAGGTAGTGGCCCCACACGGACTTGACATTCCTAGCCCTGAGTTTCTGCATGTCTGTGGGTCTTCTTAAGCTCCAGAAGAGCCCCCCAATATCCTACCGCCCTTCGCTCAGCATCCTGTCCCCAGCAAGTGACGGAGGCCGAGGTCCGGGGAGAGCAGCAGAGACGTCTGCCAGCTAGCTTCCTCCCAGGGAGGGCAAAGTCGGGGCTAGTCCCCACTTCCTCCGGACCTAGTGCCAAGCCAGCCAGCCATGTGACAAGCCGCTGAGGACCAGCTGCCAGCCACTCTGACACGTCCCAGAGGTCAGTGAAGAGAACTGATTACCTACTCATCATTAGTAAAAATATGCCCCAGTTTGTTTTTCAGGAGGCTCAACAGCATGCCCACAACCAGCGAGGTACCAACTGGAAGAGACAAAAGGAAGAGCATTTGCACCCCCACCCCCCACCCCGACCCTCTGAGGAGCCCAGCTGAGGTCAGCGCAAGGCAGGACAACGGAGGGAATGCCTTTCCTCCTCTGGTTCGCAAAGTGGGGTTCCTGGACCAGCAGCATCAGCATCACCTGGTAACTTGGTAACAGTGCAGGTTCTCGGACCCCCGTCTCAGACCTCCTGAATCGGAAACTCTGTGGGGGAAGGCCCCGAGGGTCTGTGTATTGACCCAGAGTCTAATGCAGCCTAAAGCCTGGGAACCGCTGTTCTCCACAGCTGAGCTGATCTGGATCGGGCAGCCTCAGAAAGCAGAGCCATGGAGGAGGACACAAGATTGGTTCATCCCGGGGTGGGGGGATGGGGGATGGGCAGGCCCCAAGCTCGGGGGTGGCGGGGGTGGGGGGCGGGAGATAATGCGAGGGCAAATTTGCAATAGGACCCTGGACAGCTGGAGGGAGAAGCCTGGGAAGGAAGAGACTTCACATGATCAGGGGTGGAAAGGCCATGTCAACTCAGCAGGGGATGCTCCGGACCCCACCCCCCACTGCCCTCCTTCGGGCTGGTTTCTCCCCTGCCCCGGGCTCTAACTTTCCAAGACCCTCCCCCCACGCCCAGAGGACTCTACCCACCTGTGCAGAGCATGCCTGAGATGGCCGACCGCTTAGCTTGGGCAGTGTCTGCCGCTCCCAGGGCCATCCCCACCCGGACGCAGACTGCGTTGCTGAGCCCCAGGGGAATCTGGGATCACAGGTAACAAGGGGCTGTCAGTGGAGTAACCTCCAGCGCCCGGAATGGGGTGGGTCCTGAGCCAGGAAGAGGCCAGGGCTGGGGGTGGAGTGGTCCTCCAGCCCTCCAAGCCGGGCCAAGAGGGAGAAGAGCAGGAAGACAGGATGGATCCCTAGCTGCGATTGGGAGATGGGTTGGGGATGCCCTGAGTGAGCCAGGCAATGCTGCCCCCGACCCCCGCTCCAGAAGACATCACAAGGCCACTGGCCCTGCAACCTAGATCAGTGTGTTGCCAAAACCTCGTGAGTAAATGCATTTTTAAGAGGTAGCTGTGGTCTTAAGTATGCCAGAAAAACAAAGTTTTGTGGAAACCATTTGTAAAATAAAGCACCTTATACGTTAGTGCTCTAAGTGTAGACTTTTGTGAGTCGTTTCCTTAAGCCCAGGGTCGCATACTGCATGTCCCCAGGAGGCTGGCAGATAGATACACACCTGAGTGACATGGGACAATTCATGTCTCCGTGGGAAGAGGAGAGAGCTACGGGGACCATGGTGGGGGACAGCGATGTCCCCCCCCACCACCACCAGGGGATACCATCACCCAGCTCTCGCTGACTGGGGCGTGCAGGAATATGGGCCCACCGCTAAATGGAATGTCCCATTTTTCAAGAAAAGGCCAAAATTCAGATTACGATGTGAAATCTCTCCATTTTTAAATGGTGCTAATTAAAAAAATTCTACCACCACGTGCATTCAGTATTACCCTCCGTGGAGCAGCTGTGAGTCACTTCTGTGTCCGGCAGGGCCTGTACCTGAACGGGCACAGAGGGTCCAGGAGGGTCCCTCGGGAGATAGAGACGGCCCTTAGGGTGACCCCCTGCCCCTCTTCTGTGACACCACAGGCCGTCAGGGGGGCTGGGCCAGCATGGAGGGTGTGACAAAGGTGCCCCCAGAAGAGACTCACCATGTAGACTATCGTGGCCAACTCGTAGAGGATCGCCTGGCCGGAGAGGTCCAGCACGCTGATCAGGCCTGCGGGGGCGAGTAGGGGGGATAGGGGTGCACACGGTCAGCACCCAGCCCTGGGGCTGGCTAACAGACCTGGGACAGGACGCCCCTCTGCTTTGGAGGCCAAGGGGCAAATGATTTCCAAGGGCAGATTTGCAATAGAAGATGTTCCTACTTGGCCTTCAGCCTTCCAGGAAAATACCAGTGGAATTTTCTGGAGGCCTTTCCCTGTATGGTTTGACTTTCAAGTCCTTGGTATACCTTGGCATGGTGAGCGAGAGAAAAGAGACCTGGGCCAAGATCAGGAGAGCCGAGGTTGGGTCCCAGCCCTACCAGGGTGCAACTGTGTGAGACTCTGGACAGTCTCTTGTTCTTGGGGCTCAGTTTACCTATCTGTAAATGGGGGGCAAGGGTTGGGCCAGAAGGTCTCCCAGGGCCATTCTTGCACTGGCCTGATTCTCAGGCTGTGTGGACTCTGCCCTGGGTGCTCCGGTGAGCACACATGTGTCACATGCCTGACAAACCCACACATGCTCACACCCCTGCTGGTTCAGTCCCTCGCTCCCTCACTGACTCAACCCCCTGCCCCGGGCACCTGCTCCGTTCTAGGCCTTTTGCTGGGCGCTGCTGGGGTCTGGACATGAAAGGCCCAGGCCTGCCTTCCGGGAGCTCAGGACCTCAGGGCGGAGATGAGAGAGCCACAGGCCCAGACTGGCCCAGGCTGCTGAACAGCGCTGTCCCGGGGGCGGGGGGCGGGGGGGAGCGGGGAGGGGCTTCGGAGCTGCCCACGCGGTTCCCCGAGCCGTGCTCATCCACGTACCCATGAGGAAGCTCCCGATCTCGTAGGCCCACCACTCAATGCATATCATGAGCATGCTGGGGACGGCCAGAGAGAAGAAGGGGCCCCAGTCCTGCAGGCACTGGCTGGACCAGCCTAGGAACAGAAGCCGCGCTCAAGAGCCGAGCAGGGAGCCCACTGCGCATGCCCGTCCACTGCCAGACACCCCTGCCAGCCTCTGGCTCTGCACCCCCGCCCCACCCTCACCCCCGGGCTCGGCTCAGGACGTGCAGGCACTTTGCATTCTGCACAGGGCGTGCCAGCTGGTCCAGGGTTGGTGTGGTGCGGGAGGAGGGTGCCAGGCGAGGGCACCTGCTCACACGGCCAGCACCGCAGGGCGGGTGAGAGTCCCCACACTCTGCTTGCGTCACCACGCCGGGATCTCAGGCAACTACCCTGCCCTTTCTGGGCTCCATTCCCTCGTCCGAAAATCGGAGTTATCTTTGCCCTGCCTCTCCGGAAGGATTCTTGGGAGGATGGTATGAGGTCAAGGGTGCCGAAAGGATTCTCAGGGCAGGGGGGCGCGGGGGGGGGGCACGCCGGACTCCCTGCCCCGTGACTTAGGCCCCGGCCAGAGAGCTGGTCCTGAAATGTGCAAGGGGACCCCACGGTCTACAGAGTTAGGTTTCAGGAGGCAGAAAAGCTCAGACGGGCACAGGTTCGAGTTCAGCCCCACCACGTACCAATTTCCTCTGTGTAAATAAAATGGGGATAATAAGGCATCATGGAGTTTAACTGGGGTCAGAAATGTCACCTAGAATTTCCCCCGTGTCACCACCCTGAGATCAAGGAGCGGGCCAGAAAGCGGGGCTCTGCACCATGTCACATTTGATGGGGGGCGATCTGGGGCCTTTGGGGGCGGGGTCCTGAGGGGTGGAGCAAAGGGGAAGGAGGCCCCAAAGGGAAGTAGAGGCAAGCCCGGAGACAGGGCCCCTCCAACGGGACTGCAACTGGGTCTTCTGTCCACCGGCCAAATGCACCCCCTGGGCCCGTGCCAGGGTCCTGCCTGATGCTTGTCTGCTCAGCCCCCCACAGGCAGGGCGGCCCTCTGCACCTGCCCACGTCTCCAGGTGCAGCTTCTTCAGCACAATGTAGAGAAAGAGGAAGATGGTTTGCACGAAGTAAGACATAGTGCTGGCGTAAGCAGAGCCCCTGGGAAAGGAGAGAGAGCAGGGCTGGGGCCAGGGGCCGACTCTGGCCCTTGGCGTAGGGGGCTCCCCTGCTGAAGCCAGCATGGAGGGGAAGCGGGCCCAGGCATGGCCCAGCCAGCGCCCCCATCCCGGGATCGGCCACGGGACCCCCGGCCACAGGCACCATGACAACAGAGTCCTCGGAGTCACCCTACCAGGTCCCCACTCTCGGCCTTTCCTGGCGGGCTGGGGCACGGATGAGGAGGGCTCCTCTCCCCGTCTCCTTGGTGGGGAGCCCCCCAGGACCCGAGGGACCAGCAGGACCCCCCAATTCCTCACGACACCCACTTCTGGACGGCAGGGGCAGCCCCCGCAGTTCTTGTGAGGCGAGGATGGTGACCAACCCGCCCCAGTCGGGAGTGGGGTGCCTGGTGGGCAGTGCTCCCTGACGGGGTCCCTGGTGCTCACCTGACCCCCAGGCTCAGCATGGAAACCAGGATGTAGTTGGCCAAGCCATTGATGCAGTTGCCCACGATGCCACTGAAGACTTGGGGCCAGACAATTCCCTGAAATAAATGAAGGGGGTGGGGCACAGGAGGGAGGGGTGTGGCCCAGCCCAGGCACGTCCAGGGGTTGGAAGGAGGCTGGGGACATGCAGCTCCTTGCTGGGCCCTACTCAGGCTCACAGATCGTGCAGAAAGGAGAAAAGCCTCAGGCACCCCTTCCCACTGGAATAGGGCAGTGTGCTGGGCCTGGGGGTCACCCTGCTAGCCAGGGACCTGTACCTGATTTTGCAAATATTTCGCCAGCAGGACATAAAGGAAAAATGCCTGTGTAAGATAAAAACAAAAAAACCAGACACACAAATAAACAATGACTACCCAAAAGCACGAGATGAACATCAACAGATACTTCTCCGATACCTGAGTATGGAACAATAACTTCACCAAAGTATGTCTGGAAGCCCCGCGCCCCCCACTCCCCCGGTGGGCTGAAGCCCGCTGAGCCATCTCGGGTGCTCTGGCCCTGCCTAGGAGGATAGAGGCCCCCATCCAGGCTTCTGCTCGGCTGCAGGGGAGGACAGACTGGCAGGGCGGGTTGGCTCCAACAGAGAGCACAGTTCAGCAGGCTTGTGTAAGAGGCCGAGCACCTGGCAGAGAGCTTCTGGCTGCCGACCCAGATCTTCCATCAGCTCAGGGAGGCCACCCAGGGGCCTGCGTACAGAAGCACCCAGCAGAGCCCCAGTCCACAGGCTGTGACCACCCTTGAGTCTGGCTCTGGCTGCTGAAAACCATAATCTAGGGGGAGTGGTCTCAGGCTAGGGTGGTGGGGGTGGGGGGAAGGGGCTCAGCCGGGTGGCCAACAGTAGTCCCTGCTGAGTAGGCTCAAGTCCCCATGTGGTGGCAGGTGGAGGATAGAGCATGCGCGTCAGCGTGTGTGTGCTGGGGGCTCTGTCCCTGCCCCCCCTTTATGTCCTCTGTCAAAGCCTGGCCCTTCGCCTGCGCCTTCCTACCCCATCCCTTCCCTTAGCCCTCCGCTTCTGTTGAGTATAGCACAGTGCTTAAGAGCACGGAGCTGGAGCTAGATTGCCTGGGTTCAAGTGCTGGCCCCAATCTCTTATCAGCTGTGTGATCTTAGGCAAGTTGCTTAACCTCTCTGGGCCTCAGTTTCTTCATCTACAATGGGGATATTCATCTGTGCATATACTGCGTGCATATTCATCTCTACCTATATATGTAAAGTTAATATCGCCAAATGCTTACAAAACAGTAAATGGCACGTTTAAGCATCCCAAGTGTTAGGTAAGCATTATGTAAATGATGTTTGGCACTTCTATTATTACTTTACTGGTAGATTTTACAGCAGCATTTTATGGGAGGGACTTGCTTTATTCGATAAAGGAGTTGCCACAGTGATAACGTTATCGGATGCTTTCCCCTGACCCAGCCCCAGTGGCCCTGTTTGGCAAGATACCAAAGGGGTACTGTCATTCCAAAGACGCCATCCCCAACACAATACCGCCCCCTAATCACGTGTCTCACTAAGCCTCAACAAATTAAAGAGGGTAGCAGTGAATTCCTGAGCAGACATACAGGCTACCGGGTCCGGCCAGAAATCTCAGAAACTGACTTGACTAGATGCACTACCTAGCTGGTATTTAATAAATTAATGGAGAAAGGAGAGACTATGCAATCATGAGTCCTAGTTAAAGTTTCTTAGATGGATTAGAGTCTTTTTTTTTTTAAAGATTTTTATTTATTTGACAGAGAGAGACACAGCGAGAGAGGGAACACAGCGAGAGAGGGAGTGGGAGAGGGAGAAGCAGGCTTCCTGCTGAGCAGGGAGTCTGATGTGGGGCTCGATCCCAGGACTCTGGGATCATGACCTGAGCCGAAGGCAGACTCTTAACCGACTGAGCCACCCAGGCGCCCCTAGATGGATTAGAGTCGTAAAGGTAAAAATAAAAACCATAGGAGGGCTCAAAGACAACATAGGCAAATGTTTATATAATCTTGCAATGGGGGTAAGTGTTTTTAAGCTCATCAAAGACCCCATAAAGAAGAGGGTTTATAGATCTGTTATGTATACACTAAAAATTCTTTAGGTCAAAAATATCAAAAATTAAAAGGCGAGTGACAAGCTTAAAAAATGAAAAGGGATGTGCCCTATATGACAAAGAGTTATTAGTTAACAAGAATTATAATAACTAGAAAAAGATTAACCCAGAGGGGCCTGGGTGGCTCGGGCCGTTAAGCATCGGACTCTTGTTTTGGCTCAGGTCACAATCTCTGGGGTCATGAGATTAAGCCCTGAGTCAGGCTCTGTGCTCAGTGGGGACTCTGCTTAAGATTCTCTCTCTCGGGGCGCCTGGGTGGCTCAGTTGGTTAAGCGACTGCCTTCGGCTCAGGTCATGATCCTGGAGTCCCTGGATCGAGTCCCGCATCGGGC